AGGAAAAATTTAAAACCTTCAACAAAAGAACCCAAAACAAAAGTTAAAAAAACAAATCGAAAAGTAAAGGTTCAATCAAAAAAAAGATCTAAAAAAACGGTCTCTAAAGTTGGTTCTAAACCAAATTATATTACCTGTAAACGTAAATATCAGATAATATAATGGCAACAACAAAAAAAAGAAAAATATCACCATGTTCATTAGGATCATGTGGTGATATTACAGCTTACAATGTTTGTGGTCAAAATAGACTACCCGGTTCATTAGTTGATAAAATTGATTTTGATGCACAAGGATTAACTCCTATTGAAACAAGATTTTTGGCTTTTCCTTTACTACAAGAACCTAAATCTTTTAAATCTTTGAATTTATTAGATTTTTCATTATATATTAAACTAGTTTCTTATCATCCTTCTACTACAAATACTACACATCAGGTAAAAAATGATTTAATTTCGACAAAATTATTATCACCTTTCAAAATTGATATTTATCTTGTCAGAATATGTGATCTTGAAACTGCAAAAAAAAGAATTTTAAAGATAGAAGATGTATTAAAAGATCCTAATGATATAAAAAGACATCAATTGAAAGATCAGTTTGATATATTGATGAGTTACAGTGTGCAGATTTCATGTTCAACAGATTGTGTTTTTAATGATCATGAAATAATTATGTGTAGATCTTTTTTAAAAGAAGAACAGAAAATTTGTGAAATATCAGATAATGATAATGAAAGTACGATATATAATACTGGAAATTATAGAATAATAATGGTAATAGATTATATGGATTGGATGTATCAAAGTCGTATCAAAGATGATGATATTGCAGTTGATGATAAAATTGATTTAGGAGATACATTTGAAAGAAATAATTCTGGTCATCCAGTTATGATTTCGAGTGGAAGTATTGAAGTATCATATCATCCAAATTTGACACAAGTTAACAGTATTGAAGCATTTTCTCAAATGGTTGCAAATCGAATTATAGATAAAATACCTAGACCTGCTGCTGAGGTTAAGAATGATGATAAAGATCTTTAATAGATTTTTTTATTTTATTTTTATTAATTTTATATATAAATACAAATATTTTTCTTTTTTTTTTACAAATAAAACAAAAATGATTAAAATACAAAATTGCAAATGTATTTATAATTTTAAAGAATATGTTGATTGTTGTGCTAAAAAATATAACAATCAAATTGATATAAAGATTGATGAAAAAAAAATAAATGAATATTTAATGTATTCAAT